CCATTAGAAAATACTGGTTTGTAGTGAAAAAGAGTTGGTATAATGCACTGTAAGGGTAATGTATATTAGAGGTTGGTGGAGCAATTTATATGCAGATATTTTGAAATCCCTCCAGAGAAATGTACTACTGCATTTCTTTAATAGAAAATGAAGACCAGCACTGGAACTGGTAATTGAAAGAAACTCTCAAAAACTGAAACCTGTATTATCTCTTTCTGCAAATTATATTTTATTTCCCCTTCTAAGGCAAATAGTTCTTAATACTGATAAAAATGGGATTATGGTTGTAACCAGAATAAGAAGAAAAAAATTAAGTTTCCCAGTTCCATTAGTTGTCCCCCTCTTCCCCATACAGGCATAAACCAAGTATTACGAGAGACCTCCTGAAGAGTCTTGAAAAAACAGGGAGAAGCAGAATGCATTTTATTCCCGTCCCCAATAAAGTTGAGCATGCAATAGGAGGTGATAAAATGGGATTTTTGAGATGCTGGTGATGCCGGCCTCTTTGCAGGATTGCAGAAAAGTGACCAGAGCAACTATGGAGTTTGATATTGAACAATTTAATGATTACACCAAGAAATTGCTCTCCCTATGTAATGCCCTGCATGAGATCAAACTCACTGTGACCCTGTCTGTATTATCCTTTTGTTTCTTCTGTGCAGTACAAATATCTCATAATTTATAGCACTGAAAGGTACACAGCTGAAGAACACTTAAATTACAGTTAAAAGAACAACAGTGAGAAATGCCAGGGTAATTATGTTTTCGGCACATTCCTTTCAGTTCATCATGTTTTCCTCAAGGACGTTTAACAATCATACATAGTGTCTCCTTTATTCTTCTGTTTCTCTTTAGAATATTTTTACTGAAGTGCTACCTAATATAGGCTTTATTTTTTTTCATTTTCTGTTACGGAGGCCAAGTATGTCTTAGTTGTGTGATTCAGTTAGTTATAAGTGAACAACAGCAGAAAACTCTCCTTATTAAATCTCAAACCTTTACAAACCAACCAGTGAAATAAGTATTCAGTAGCAAGTTTGCCAAACCTTTTGTCCAAACTTCACACTTTGTTTACCAAAAGTGCATTAGCAAAAAACACTGTGCCTGCTGTGCGGTATCCCCCTCCATGCTGCTCATTAGTCCCACTCTCTTGTATAAAGTATGGAAGACTAAGCTTTTTTTTTTTTTTTAGACAGCATCGAGATCTTATAGATTCAGGTTTTCATTGATTGAATTCTACTGCGACAGAGAAGACTCAGACTACAGAAATACAAAAACTTCTATCAACTGTCATTAAGAATATAAATCAAACAGGAGGCAAAAAGGACTAAATAAAATCATATCAGAGGCAAAGCCATTTGGCAAATTTTGTTTACATAGTAAGACAATTCAAGAGGAGAAAAGAGACAAGTTAAATCACGTGCGTAGGTTCAGTTCAACCAAACCTCCGCCAGAGCCCGGGACACACACACCTTGATGAACCCGGGCTCAGAGAGTTATCTGTCCTTCTGCCAGCCAAGCAGCACAGTCACTCCTTTCCAAAGTGCCCCAAACCCAGACTGCTGCTGTCTGAACTTACAGGGCAGGGGAGTTTGCACACTGGCTATTTAATCTTTCACGTCCTTCTGTCCCCTGAGTAAATACAATGCCAGAAAGGGCAGACATGCCAACCATTAGTAAATGGGGTGGGGAGAACAAACTGGACTCCAAAGCCAGCACGGAGTGCTGGCACACTAAGGACCTCTGTCTCCGAGACACTTCTCTCCATGCGAGTAAATGCAAGTTACCTCTGGTGTCAGGAAACTAACAGAATAAATGCTGCTCATCTGAAAATACAGATGTTGTGCATCTTTTTGGCATTCTCCTTACAGATTCATTGCTACCTAAAGTGCTCCCTCCTGCCTTCTCGGCTGCAGTTCTCTAATTTTTTTTTTTTAAACTCCATTCTCAGTGTGCCATAAAACTGCAAAGAGTGCAGGTTTTGTTTTTTTTTTTTTTTTAAAATACTCATCTTAACTGAGGTACAACTACATCATCATCTGCAGTTTTGTCACTTTCTGAATATTTTACATTTCTCATCCAAGGACACTCACAAAAGGCAACTGAAATGAAGTAAAAGTATGAATTTATGGTTGTCTAAGAAGAGTGTATGTTCTTGTTCAGAATTAAAGTAGACTGATTTCAATTAGCATTTATTTCCCGTTCAAAATTAATTCAAAAAAATTCTCATTTTTCAGCCAGCAATCACTGAATCATATTTTTATTCTTCTTGTTTTGCTGTTTTTCTTCCTTATCCCATAAAATGAACAACTGGTACCTTAAACCTTCTCTCTGAACATACAGATCTTGCTGTAAAGACAGTGAATATAATTGCTCTCGAATGATAAAGTTATTAGACTCATCATAACTGTTCCTTCTACTCGTGTTGTGTTTTACGTCAAAGGCATCTCATTCAAAGAGGTTAGTACAATTAAACAAAAAAGAAAATTAAGTTAATCTTCGCCTCTTTCACAGAATTTCCTTCTATATGAACAACCACCATTAAATCCTGTTGACTGTTCTCTTGAATTGTATTACAAAAGCTCATGTAATCACTCCAATTAAATAAGTTTTTGTGTCAGCATCGTTTTCTTCTCTTCTTTAAACTACATCTGAAATTAGGGAATAGACAGTGATTTAAAAGAATATTTAAAGCTAAGAGTACTCTCCAGCCTGATCATATCAAAGCAAACGAAGTTCAGAATCAGCTCTTTTCTGCTTTATTTTCCACAACTCTGTTTTTTATCTAGCTGCTGCTGCCAACATTGAAGTTTAGATCAGTAAGCAATAAGAAATGAAGGGAACTGCCAAGGTCAGTCTGCTTGTCAGACTGCGGAGCTACTGAAATTCAGCATTCTTCCTCAAGCTTTTTAAAATAAGTAAATCCTACTGCTTACATGTAACATCATTCTTGTCTTACAAGACACAAGAATCAAGACATTGCTCCAGCAGCATGTATCATGTTGAAAAAGGAAAAGTCTTCTTTGAGATGCAGTAGTTAATCTGTTGACTTCATTAAAGCCATCTTGAAAATACACCAGTGGTCTCTGCTTCTATAAAGACCTCGACCCCCAGAGAACTTGCCCTACACTCTCCATCCCTTTATCAACCTTCCTGTGCAAGACCATTAAAACAATTTCTGAGATGCTGGGGTTTGTTTCTCAGCCCCAGCTGGCTGCATTCCCCAGTCTAGCTCTAGGGCAACCGACACACTACTATCAGAGCAAGCCCACAGCGTCAGTGGATACTTTTCCACCAAGCTGCATGCTTGCAGGATTACACCTAGTGCACAGACTGAAAAGACTGACTTTCTTCTGAACTAGTCATGACAAAAAAAAAAAAAAAGGGTTCCAAAACCTGAACTCTGGCTGAGGTGCGGCAAGGAAGATGCCCATAAACTCAAAAAAATGTATTATGAGGCATGAAAAAAGGATATGCATATGAAATATTCAAGTTAAAAATCTTTGCTTCGCTCAGCACAGATCAGAAGCTTTAATCTTTGTTCCATCTGTTGTGGTGGCAGGACTGCCCACTCTATCCTCCAACTCCGAACGTACCCGGGAGCCCCACAGACCTACTGCTGTAGGTGTGATCATTTTAACTGCCCTGCTGCCCGAGCCTGGGCACTCAGCATGCCCCCACATCCAACCTCTGCCCTCTCCTTTTCCACTGGGGGCTGAGGGAGGAACCTTTCCTCCAGCGTGTCACAGCTTTCTGTCGCCTCCTGCAAAACTTTTCAGCAGAGGTGCAAATGCTTTCATAGAAAATTCAAGGTTCTTCACAGCAGGTTTTTCCTTTTTCTAGTCACCTACTCAGACCCTTTGAAAAAAATAATCATCATATCACAGTTCAAAAACAAGCGTCACACCTCAAGAATGATGACAACAGGTTTGATCGACATAGATTTAGCGTTACCTGCTTTTCAAAGCTCTCAAGCACTCATAAATTGTTTGAAGCGCAAAACGTGGTGCTCAGATTTAAGACAGAGCAATATACGATAGTACAAAGTTCTCACCAATGTTCTTTTAGAATGACTTCTTTGCAGATCCAATTCATAGTCATCCTACAGACTTAAAAAACTATTTTTTTTTTTTCCAAACTCAAACTGATAACATTTTAAACCCCATCTTTTTCAGCCTAAAATGAACCACTCTGGGTCTGGCTTAGTATACACTGTACCTTCTTAAAATTTCATTTATGTTTCTGGCAAAAAGCTATCCTTCTCTCAAAGCTGCAATCTTTGACCTTTAAAGTATTGGCAAACAGCACATAAATAAATGCTGGTGGAATGAGAAAACTCAAGTTAAGGATTGCTCCAAGTAGAACACATTAGAATCTCCATACCTCCATAACTAAGTATCTCTTATTATTTTCAAATTAAATATCTCAACCATTCCTCTTGGTAACCAAGGTATTTGTACAATTTGTGTCAATATTTACATTAATGTTAAATTGACCTTAATATCAAGCATTTTAAAAACTTCCATAAAGTAAAGAAAATGACAGGACAGTCAACATGTGTCTATTTCTGAATCTGCTTTATAGATATTAGTCACCACTGTTCTGCTATAGGTTATAAACTTTGCATTTTTAAATACATTATGTATTCAGGTTTTTTTTCCCTTCAGTCTACAGCTTATACTCTGGATAAGCCACACATATAAGACCAAGCTTAGTTTCAATACCAATACTCTATTACACCGGAGCATCTCTGCTGTTCCCCATCTGTTGGAGTGGGGTTTTTAGTTAGGGTTTGTCATTGATTTCTTTGTACTTATTTCTAAATAATACAGTATACAAAGCAATAAACATGAAAATGTATAGTATATGCAGCATAACACAGTGTGGAGAAACTATTGATAACATTTCTAGTTACTACTTAGTACCTATGTTTTTCTGCCAGGTTATGGTGGTAAAACCCTCTGTCATGCTTAAGGAAAAAATAACCAAGGCAAACTTACTTGATATAGTAGGGCACTTTGTTATGTGAAACAGATCTCTGCCACGGAAACTGTACCGATGCTGAGGAAATAAAGAGAAGGTAATTATTAGAAAGCACCTGTCGAATAAAAAAAATCCAACTTTATTTATTTATTTTAAAATTAAAACAGTTTTAAGAAATTAAATGGGAACAATTAAAATTTCCCAGACAACTTTCAGTAATTAGAAAATCAGCTGGAGAAAACGATGTTAATCTATCAAGATGATTCTAGGCATCTATCTGATGCGAAGCTGGAAATAAAACAAATGTGGTGATTTTACTTCGAAGAAGGATAATAAATTCTGAGCAAGCAAGCTATCCATCCAGGGAAAACGGAGACACTGGTTTTCCTGCCTCCATAGAATTATTATCAGCTTAAACTTTGAAAATAAATGCTTCCACTACTATAATTAATGCTCTGCAACAGAACAAAAAGGAGAAATATCAACCTTATTTTTATTAGTTACAACCCTTAGCTCATATTTGCAACACAAATTAAGATTGATTAACACTGTATGACTAACAAAAAAGGCATTAAAACCCATCTTTGCACACCTTGCCGAACAGTGGTAATCTGTGCAGACTTTATGCAAGTCTGATACATCAACAGATATCATCCATAACATCAAGAAGCCTTCTGCACACTGAGCTGCAAAAGGCATGAAGTCATACATGACACTACAACTGTGCTTACTGAAAGATCCCAGGAGATGAAAGGGGAAAAAGCGTTCAGGCCAACAGGACTGCTGGTGCTCAACTTAAAAGCAGCTGTTTACTGAAGAACCATAGGCACTTGTATGTCCTACCAGAAATTACCGGACTAGTGCCTGGTTAATTAGGGGCTTATCATAGAAGAAACTCACTTCACTAGATTCACTGTGGAAGCATAAATTGAAAGAACAGGTAGCAATAACTGATCATCACCATAGGATGAATTTATACTGTACACGTATGCCAACACCTCCAAGACAAGAGTGCTTACTCTTCGGTGCTGACACCCCTCTTTAAAAACCTGGTAAAATGAGACACAGCTTTGATCCACACTGGGTCTCAAGTAATTAAACTCTCAATTAATCTAATTTTCTGCAAGCATGGCCCACTTCAGAGCTCATCCCTCTTTGGGGGAAAAAAAAAAAAAAAAATTCCATTTGAAAGTAACTCTCTCCTCCTCCCCGAAGACCTTGCAAGGCTGCAGCGAAGCCTTCCAAGCCATGTAAGCCCCACAGGGCAGCGCTTCTGCAGAGAGGGGCAGGTCTTGCCCTGCTCCCAGCCGGCTCTGCCCTGAGCTCTTTAATGGCTGTGTCCTCTTCCTGGATCACACAGAATTTCACGGTTTATCATTTAAGAAACGTTCATGTACCAAAAGACAGATTAACTGGGAAGAATATCTGGGAAACTACAGGAATCAAGTAAACCACATTATTCACTAGAAGAAAAAATAGAAAATTCTGTATCACTATTTAAAGAAGAAAATAACATTTGCAAAAAAGAGGTAGGTAGTTACCCGGTAAAGAAAAAATACATGAGGTTACATGCTCAAATAGAGGTATTTAACTAAAAAATAATCCTTAAGCATTCATAACCGAAAAAAGAAGAAAAAAAATAAAATCAACCAGATGGGTGAAGGTGGCCACCAGCTTGAGAATTTCATTCTTTAGCATTGCAGTTTGGCACCTATGGTGGCTTCAGTACTACTACACTAATTATATCAGCTAACTAAGAAGAAAAATCTGGTCACAGTTTGCTTAGGTACGATTTATGTGCTATGACAGATTATAGACATACTGCAGTGACACAGATACGGACTAAACAATGTAATAAATTATAGTGTTAATTATTACTGACCAAGTCATGCTCTGTTTGGGAACAACCTTTCTAAAAACATTGACGGTTCTCTGCTGCATGAACCTCAACCTAATGAAACTCCCATTCTTTTTTTTAAAATCAGTTTCTGGATGCAAACTGAACAGAGCAGTTATGGATTCTGGCACTCGCTAGCAGGCCTGCAGATATTGGTAAGGCTGGACACCACCCAGAGATGCTGTGAGCAGGCCACTCCAAGACCTAGGCTGTTTGTTAGGGAACACGCGGAGCCAGCGCTTCGTGGATGTTCGTGGATTCCTCTAAGAAAGCACACAAGAAACACGGCAGAGAGGAGTGGGTTGTGGGCCTTAGAACATAAATGAATTACAGAAAAAACAAGTTATTGCTTCTAAAGGCAGGAGACAGCAAAACAATTTTTTTTGCAGAGAATAAAGATTAGAAGGATTCTTCACCTTTATCTGTATGAGGGATGCGTAAAATTTACTGATCGGTAACTAACTTGCAAGGAGCTTACTTTCCATATCCAAAGCAACAAAAAAAAGAGCAATCAAATTCTGCCTACCACTGACAAGAGAGGATAAACATCTCAGCGAAGAGAGGGATCACAGATTGCCGTGGCCTCCTAACAGCGCTTTACCTCAGCCTCCTGCTGCAGGGCACTTTAGGGAGGGCCAACGTCACGTTGTTTGCCAGTCTTCAGAAATATTCTGAAGCACTTACTTAGCAATAGTCTGGATGAATCCATGTAATTGGTGTTCCACGAACTCCAACAGCAGTATTCAACACTGCACTGTGTCTTTTTAGTAGAGAAACGTTACTAGCCACTGCAGAGGTGAAAGGACTGGATTAAGGGGGCTGGAATCAGGGTGCTAGGTAATCTCATCGAGGCTCCCTTTGCCATCAAAGGTCGGACCAGATGATCTTCTGAGGTCCCTTCCAACCTGGGCTATTCTATGATTCTATGAATCTGATGAACAGGTAGAAACAGGCACTCTGATAGCACAAATTACCGAATAAATGACAACTGGGAGCCAGACAGCTAAAAATAGTGTGATGACAAGCTATGGTCTCTTGTTAGGATTTGAAGGAAGAGTAACAGGTAGGTGAGGTAAATTTAAAATAGCTGCTGTCAAATGAGCACAGATAAAAACCTCCCCTCTAATTCAGAAGTGCAACTTTGGCAATAAAGATTTGCACAAGACATACATATCATAATCTCAGTGTCAGGAGTTTGAGATTATTTTATTCAGACTATCGCTCTACTTGTTCCTCACAGTTAGAAGTCATTTATGGCTGCTAAAAAGGTTTGAAAAATTTGATTTAGAATATGCACTATTTCAATCTGTCAGAATAAAACCTCCATTTTTCCAGATTTAATCATTTTTTTATTACTTTCTTTTTGAAGTTACTGTCCCTGACTTTCATTTAACAGACTTTTATATAAAAGTTGAAGGTATTAAGTTCTGTAACTCTGACTAGTTCAAGCTCTTAAAAGAGGGGTTTGGGTTTTTTTTAAGAAGTTTTTGCTGTAGTTTGTGTGGGGAAGGAGGCTGTTTGTTTTTAACAAATAATTTAAATGGATAACTGCATATTATTTGGATTTGCAGGACTGTGCTACTTGGCTATAGCTCTTTGCTGTATCTACCAACATGCAATCTGGAAACTTTCCCTTCTTGACTTTTGTATGTAACATAAACCAAATGTCCCCTTAAACCTGGAGAAGATGCCCTAAGCAAGGCTGAGGTATGCTGATAAAGCACTGCATAGTCTCTTTTTATTTTTTTTTTAGATCAGTCAGCTGAACATTACACAGACTAGACTGACTACTCTCCCAAACAGTTAATCTGGCATTTTTCAAAAGTGCCAGAGGTACCACTATATTCTTTTTAGCAAATTATTACATTGGTGTACCCTCAAGGTTACAAGTTTGAGATTGGAAGGGCTATAAAACCACTGTGGCAACACTATGCAATACTTCTAACAGGGTTTAAAAAAACCAAACAAATCACATACTTTTAAAATTGTTTGTTTGTTCTGTCCTTTTTTTAAATTGACAAAGTGGCTCCAGGAATCATTATTTTGTATAACAGCTGTAATATTTTAAATACACTGCACCTTGTTTACCATGTTCTTCACTGAAAAAAACAGTTGTCAATTTAAAATAACAATATGGTTGCCACGTAACTCAAGAAGAAATCAAGATTTATTTATTGTTTTAAATTATATTAGCTGTTTAGCTATACAGTGACATAGCACTTGAGAATCTCTGGGACAGAGCTGCTCGTTTTTATGTTCTCTTCTCAACTCCTGCAATAATTTTATCTTCATTATTGAAGCCTTCAGTTAAAAACTAGAGAGTCGACCGAGTTAACACTTTGTATCATGAGCTCGGATGATGGCAGATAGGCTGGAATGTCAGAAAATCAACATGGATCTTGATATCATAATCTACCCATCTGTACCAAATAAGTCTAATGAGGGAGCAAAAGCATCTGCTTTTGCCCTCTTAGTATATGGAAGATTGCAGGCTTACAGGTGTAAAATTTTCACTAAACAGAAAAAGCAGCAAAGATGGGTCTCAGAAGGAAGTGATGCAGGTTTCCTTTCCCCATCCCTTTATTTGAAGTTCCAGGAATGTATCACATGAAGTCTTTAATAAAAAAAATATCCAGGCAACTCTTCTTTTGTGTCATCCCAGCAAATGTGGAAGTGAAGGGAAACCGAGGAAAGAGGTAGCAGGGGATGAGAAGATGTGGTTATGAACACATAAAGATTCTGGAACAGCCACAGGTCAGACCTTGCAGCAAACAGAGGACAAAGAATAAAGCAGCCAGGGGCACAACCATAACTCAGCAAGATGTTGCAGAGGGAAGCATACCAGTGAGAATGTCAGCGGAGTTATGAAGATGAAACACCCCTACAAAAACAGGGAGGAAGATAAAAACATGGAAAAGGAACTTTCTGTTCCTCAAGCCATAGGGAAACCTGGAGTAAAGAGCAGCCAGTGTTTGAGAAAGCCGTCCCATCTCGCATGCATCTATTAATTCAAAGAACTTACTGGAAAGAAAGTGCTGTGATGCAGGCCCAAAATCTCGGTGTGCCTCCTGTAACTGTTTAAGACGATCATCTACAGACACCTACACATAAACACACATACACAAAATTTACATTGCATTTACCTTGTAACACCAGGGCCATGATAACAAAAACACTTGTTTACATCCTTTTTAAGTTAAATAAATTTAAATTGTCTGTGCATCATAGCACTTATTTGACATCCAACTATTCAAGGCTATTTTTTTTCTTTCATTTGCTTGATGAAAGTTTTGTTCATGTCTTGCAGCGTTCCCGTGCGTGTACCGCAGATCAATAACGAACAATAGTAATTTCATGGTGACTACAGCCGACTGCTGAAGTTTCTGACCTCCTCCGAACCCTTCATTGTCCATATTTCCATAGTCAGCAGGTCTCAGTTTGACTGTATTGATCTCACAGCTGCCTTTCCAGCACAGAACTGTTTTGGAAGATACCGCTTCACTGGCTGACATGACTCCCCCTTGGTTTATTAATTGAAACTGCACTAGCACACCCAGCAGCAGTTTGGCTGCTTGGTTAACTCAATTTGAGAGGACACAAGAAAAAAAATAAAAGGGAAGGTCTGATACGACACATTAATAGTTTTGCCTTTCCTCTCAGGAGGGACTGATTCAAAATTACTAGCCCAGAAATTGATGCCCAGGGTTTTGAAAATTCAGTCCCACTGCCCTCAGCTACAGAGGTGACAGATCTTCCATCCTTACCCCAATTCTTTCAAACACTTAATATTACCCTTAGAAACCAGATAAAGAAACAAATAGCAGCTGACTCACAGTAAGTATTTCCTACCAAAAAAAAAAAAAGTGAGAAAGTGCAAAAATTGACAAAGGAGCTTTTAAATGATGTAAGAAATTTCATTAAATCGTTCCCTGCGAAACTGCATGAGCCTGAACTGTAATCAGGCACATTGATTTACCTTTCTCAGACCGTTTAAGCACAATAATCGTAACTAAGCAATACGAATCTCTCTCACAGCACATCCTCTTCTGTTTATAATGCTAAATGTGCTATTGCTCACATCTAGTTATAGCTCTACTAATACTTACGTCACTTTAAGTGAAATTCCCTGCAGAAACTGAACATTCAAAACCAAAATAAAACAGCTTTCACACAAGCTGGAAACACCACAGAAATATGTACACCAGTTTTCAGTAACAATGATTTATGCAGTAAAAATACTGCTATAAGACATACACAAAAGCATGCAGCAATAGTTCCCACTAGCCTCCAGAGATTAACGCCATCTCCTGAGTGAGTAAACCGCTGAGACAGCTTGAAAGGAAAAGCTTTCAGTCAAGCTACACAAGGAAAGACAGCTCCCTTTATCGCTTTGGTACCACTAGAGTAACACCTTAAAGACAGAAATAATGAACAAATGGTAATAATGCATCTTTTAAGAGAACAGAAGGGAGTGGGAAGCATCCCTCCCCACACACCTACTGTACACATTCAGAAGAATACCTGTAAAAGTTTCCACCGCATATTAAGATCGTCCAGTTGACGAGATATCTTCAATGATGGATAAAGGTCAAGTGGAGACAGCTGACTGGACAAATCATTCACTGTTTTAACTTTCAAGTTGATGGGAGCAATTTCTTCTCTAAAAGCCTAAAAGAGTAAGGAGTACACATTTATGTTCAATGGATGTCCGAGCAGCACAGAAGCCACCATAAACTCAACGTGGTGCTGACTTGCCCAACATAGCAGCTTATGCTAAACTGTACGCAACTCAGTTCTCCGGCAAAGAAAGTTCACTCACTTCAATATTCTTATTAACTCCTTCATATCCATCTTTAGAGAAAAACAGTATGAAATTTACTCAAATGCTCATATCCAAATTGCACCCCTAAAGCAATTTAAAGAAGTTTTTTAGTGGTGCCATATGGCTTTTCTTTCCAAAAAGAAATACGTAATGCTTTATCAGGAGCTTTAGCAATATACAGCCTGTCAAGTGCTCCTAAGAAAAAAATGTGTTCAGTAACTACAGTTTTCCAGCACTAAGCAGCTGACAAAAATTCAATTTAAAAACTATTATTGAATTAGCAAAGCATGAAGGAATGTATCTTCTAAGGAAGAGGATTACAATGTTTTACCTGATTAGAACTGTAGAGTAAAACCATTACAAGGATTAAAAAGAAGAAAAAGGTTTATTGAATCAAATGGAACTAAATACAGTATTAGGACAAAATTGATGCAAGTTTTAGTTACAGTTGAAAAGAGGCATCAAATGTCTGTCTTGCTGTGAGCAGCTAATTGTTCAATCCTATAAATTGTTGATTAAACATCATGAAACAAGCCAAAACCAACTGGAAAAAATATTTTCTTTGGACAATTCAATTATTTACCTCCCTTCAAAATCTCTCCCATCAGGCCCTGGACAGAAGGAACCTACTGGCAAGAAAGAAGTGTTTGGCTTCTGGACAGCCAGCAAGCCTCTATTACTTCAGCAGATGTTTCAGTTTTTCCCTAGCAATGAAAATCTACAAGACTTTGCTTTACTCTTCTTTATGGAGAAAAACATCAAGATATGACAAATCACTTCTTAACATGAGAACAAAGAGCTATTCAGCATCAGCATCTTATTGCTTGCTTTAGTATCTATATTAAAATGTAAGAGGGAGAGGAGGAGATGCATTACTCTTGTCAAGTCAACAGCAGTCTGGATATAAATCAGCTATGACTGCCTTTGTTTTAAAGATTTTGGTTCCATTAAACCTGAAAGTAACAACAAAATTCGGAGAATGAGGATGTTTACATTGGTACACCTGAAACAATGCAGCCCTGTGTTAACTTCTTATGAGTCCACAGGCTGTGTATACATAGAGTACTTGCAGAAAACTTGTGCAGCCCATGGCCCTTTGTTCTTCCAACACCAGTGTCCCATGCTGAAGACACGGACGGCCAGGTACGTGACCCCAGGGTCCTCTAATGTTTTGCCATATTCATTCTTGAGCTTAAGAACTGAAGTTGTGTTTGTGAAACAGAAGCTTGGTGATAACTGCTAAATTTGCCTGAAACAGCAGTTTTCTCTACCTACATGTGCATATCTACATGTTCTCCTGGAATCCCTGATATTCAAGCACTGCCCCAGTCAGCTTTCCTGGAGTATGTTAGTTATGAGAAGACATTCCTTCTTTGGGGAGCTCTGCATTACTGGGTCCCCACCGAACCCACGCAGGGGACAACTACAACCCATCACGAGCAGCTGTGCCTTGGGGTGCTGAGCCCTGCATTGGTGGCCTGGAACCCTCGCTGCAAGAACTGGTACGCCCATGAGAACTTTACAGGGTAGTGTGTCTTCTTCATTTTGAAATAATCCTGAAGAGAAGCCAGACTAAAGTAAAAGCAACTACAAGGTTTCACTCATACAAGCTAAAATAGACAATAGATGTGTGAAGTTTGTGAAAGTTAAGGAACAGAAATTAAAACTATGTATATACTTCTGTATGACTGAAAGAGCTCTAAATGTTTTTCTAAGAAGAAAGCTATACATGATGGCCAAACAGCTCACCACTACGAAAAGGAGGGGAGCCTACTGTCAACTGTCAGGATGAGAACTGACTCGGCTCGTTCGTACTCTGGCGCCTGGGCAAAGCTCCTAACACACCCGTGGCCTAACTATGGATTAGACAGTATTTCTAGGAGGAAACTATTTAAATCCCAGAATACAATTTTTTTCATTTAATGAATGCTCTATTCTCTACACATCCGTAGCTTGCTGATCACATGTGCTTACGCCATCACAGCTGACACAGTGAATGTGGCACAGCAGCAGGCTTTCTTTGAGACCTCAGATCTAGTCTCTAAAGAGCACTTCAAACTGTATGTGAGAATTTAACTACGCAGTGTATACACATCTAAGGTGACTAGGGGTAGTAGAATGGAGGGGTCTGACTCTTACACAGGCTAAATATTTCCCAGGAGTTCCACACTTACTGTAGTTTTCTCAATGTGATCTGGTAATGAATCTATGAGCAAGTCTCCCACAGGTTTCCAGCCATTCCTCACATTTTCAGCCTCCTTCAAGTCAGCATCGAGGTCATCCATGGCACACTGCAGGTCTTTCAGTTTTTCTAATGCTTTGTCCACTTGCTTCTGCCAGATACTGGCACTGGCATTTAGGTTCTCCCATTTCTCCTTTACCTCTGACGACTGCTTACGCATAGCTTTGGCAATCCTCATGGCTTTCTCCTCAGGGGTCAACTCTGCAGAGGAAAAGTAAAGTTACAGTGTTTATTTCTTTCTTCCCGTGTCTAGTTAAATAGACAATGCTCCTGAGGTACATGCTCAAGAGAGTCAGTAAGTCCAGCACCAACTGATAATGTGTTTCAGCAGGTACAAGGTGGAAGAAAATCCACCTTGCCATAATGGAAATAAACCTTAATCACTCCTAATGACAAAATAAAGTTTGATTAGAGGATAGGAAACTATTCCTGACTTCCATGTATTACGATATCTGCAAAGCAAAGGCAGCTTACTGCTGGTTTGTCGCTTTTGCAGGCACAGAGGGAGGAAATAAAAGACCATGCCTCCCTACTGGAAACTGCACATCCTGGGGTTTTTTTGAGTGTGGTGGTTTTTTTGGGTGTGGTGCATTTGTGGTTTT